AGTATCTATGTCATAATGACTTCACTTACTGGAGAAAAGAACAAACACAAGCGAAGTGAGTATCGCCATTTCAATTCTACAACTACTAGGCGTAGTCTGAATCACCCACACTCGCCAAAAAGTTCTATCAGTTAATCAATCCATTAATAAATATTTATTAATCCCTATAGCCAATTAAAAACAATTTCATTTCGCGGACTCTAAAAGTATCAAAATGATAACGCATACGACAAAAATTAAGTTAAGTTTAATTAAAGTTATTTATAATACAAGGTTCTACGAAGTTGCTATTTCTTTGGCTGGAATCAGGCCAAATAAAAAAAAATAAAAAAACAGAACTATTCCAAGGAGTCCACTTTTTCTTTCTAATTTTTTTCCCAATCGCGCGTGGACCAGCACACCGCGAGGTCCACTATCGCACCGCGTCTCTTCGTTCGCACCCCGGCAATCACCGCGTGAGACACGGCAACTGTCTCGGCATTGCGCGGACTCAAAGTACATTTAGCTGCCGATCCGTGGAACTTGCTGTACCCAAAATAAATAAAATGGTCTCGAAAACTTCAATTTATATCTGGAATGTTTCTATATCTATCGTGGGTGAGTACAAAAGAAGATCATCGCTCATGGTGGATATACACCAAGCAGTGTTAGCTGAGACAACTGTTGTATTACAAAGAGTATTATAGTACATTGTACATGTATCTTAAAATGGCGTATATAGGGACGGTATATCTTGGGATCTGAAAAGACTATATGCGTTGATCTCATAAATAAAAGACAGCAGACTTTCACTGCACCCAAGAAAATAATCTCCTCATGCACATGCTCAATCGGTACACGAGTTCTTAAATTCTGCAATCAGCCTCAATACCTAAAAGTTTGACACAATCGTACTTGTTGCTACATCAAGAAATAAAGAGAACATTGGTGTATTGCTTACATGATGTAGAAAGTCACGGTGTTCTACGTTCCGACGAAGGTGATATCCCACTTCTGCAATTTTTTCGTCTCCTAAAACGAAACAAAAATGTTACTACTTCTGATGACGTCATTCTCTTTTTTTGGTTTAACGATGTCGCACTTCACGTCCCTAAGCTTCAGAATCGCGAGCTGTTGATGAACTGCGTACAAACGAAGTTGAAATTGAAGTTAATATAAAATGTAACTATAATATGACCATGTCAATTTATAAATTACCGTTTAAGTTGTTTTCTTCAAAATAATTATGTTCACTGACGGCAGATTGTTAACATTTCATACAAATCATTAAGACTTTGTTTTCACTTTCGAATTTGTTTTAAAAGAGATAATTTTGAGATGTTCCCAAACTGAATATAGGCCTTATCAATCAAAAAAATATTTAATATTTATTTGTTATGAAAGCCCACGGTAATACCCAAATTCGACATGCATATTTACAGTAGAACCAAATGAACCAAATTATAACATCAGAGCGCCCTCAAGCGGTATCTTAAATGCCAATCTGATTATCAAGTGCCAATTTCAGCGATTTCAATCTTGGCGCGAGTCCCGTGGGATTATGACCGAGTGTTGAGGCCAGTAATTGGACGGAAGGGAAAGTGAGGAACGGGCGTCACTAACTGAAAAGTTGGCCACATTGGTTGATAAAGTGGTTCAGTGTGTAATCGTAATAAGTCGGAATCCTCAGGGATGATTTACGGGGGCCAGTTGGGGGGAATGACCGAGAGGGGGTGGTGTAGGGTGCAGACTATTTTGGGAAGTGGGTTCAGTGGTTAGGTATTGGAGTGAGATGGTTGAAACAACTCAAATGTGTCAATAAAGTCGGCCAAATGCACACGGTTTGGTTCGTGATGGTGGTCCTGATTGGACAAACAATCGGCATAAACTAATCGTTTATGGGATTGAGGAGTTTTGTTTGAGATTGTTACCCGTTTGGGTGATATTTTGAGTGCAGTGGAACCTTTTTAACTACGATGACATGATAATGTGGCTATGGATTTTATTTCAGGCAATTATAATTATGATGTCACACCTTGAGAAATCTGTCTTGTAAAAAAACCGAAGCTGTTTTGTTTTGTTCAACTGCGTGATCGGCTGTTAATCGGTTTGTCGGTTGGTCCATTGATTGGTTGAGTGTTTGTTGCCAACTCTGGTGAGCGGTATAGGCTGTGTGGGTGTGACAGTCGAGGCTGTCTGTCCGTCGCGTTGTTTGTTGGTTTGTTGTGTGAGTGGTCGATGGGTTAGCTTGTTGATGATAAATTGACTGACTATTCTTTAAACAATCCTTGCCTGCTGGTGGTCACCAGTTCTCATGGTAACTCCACTTATCTACAGCTCATTGCAAATCGTATTATATACAAATGTACCGCGTATCACACCATGGTATCCCAATTTCCCAATTGTATTGTGTTTCTGTCAACACGATCATGAGTTATTCAGAAGTCTCAAATCTGGTCCCCCCCCCCAAGAAAACCAACTACAAGCCAACTTTATCATCTTTTTCACACAGTATTTGGTGACCAGCCCGTTGTTTTACTCATACTCAGTGTACCCAAACACCCTTCGATCGCGTAGGTCCCGTTTCTCACGTGGACGGCAACGACGCGGGATTCAAGACCACTCTGTCTTCGTACAATTACCCCCTTTTTCTATTTCTTAGGACCGCCAAATGTGCTTAAATTGTCCCATGGTGGTGTTTTCCCCGATACTTTTGCCACTATAATTGCAGCGTCACGCATGCGGTATAGGTATATGTTACCTTCCAGGGTTATTTGTGTAACCTTAGAAATATTTCACTCGTCAAGCGTCAAATCGAATGAAAAAAGTGTCGTCTGTTTGTGGTGGTATAGGGGAAAAGATCATTGGAAATCTTGCAACAAATGGAACATAATGTTTCCAATTGACTGAAGAAGTAGTTTGTCTTACTCTTTCGCATGGGACATATATTTCATAATGCTCTTCCTTGAAGTCATGACTTTTCAAAAAGTATGGGCGTTTAGATGAAATATTGGGATTCGGAATGTTTTTTTTTGCTCACTCAAAGCAAAAAGGTACAAAAAAAAATGTACGGACCAAAGCAGTGAATCGAATACTTCCCGTGATCAATATAAGTCCCAAACTAAAATTGTGAATACTTGACAAAACCAACCAGGGGTCGTGTTTATCCCGATGGATTGCATCAGTTCACGTTGAGATCTCTGTTTTATTTATTTTCATATCAACCTGCGGGTTCAGTTTAGCATAGCTTGACTCTGACCTTCCAGGAATATTTAGGGCTAAGTGCGCGGCATATTTGGAAGGAAAGGCCTCCTGTCGCGCCCTGCCGAAACTGTGTCTTTTTTCTTTCTGGCTCAGTGTCTTGAACCTCGTGGGCTTCCCCGTGGCTGTTTTTCAAGAGACTGTAGAGGGCCTGCCAGGCTAGCTATTAGGCTGCTATTGTGACGCGCGTGATAACCCAGTAAGCGGTTGGCAGGGCATCCCACGGCGCTCAATTAGACGTATTGATGCGCCGATACTCCACCGGTTCGCTTTCCCGTATTGGCCCTATCACGGTAATTGAAAAGTAATATGTCTATTGCTAGCAGCAAGCCAGACAACAGACCAGCCGACAAACTTCTCCTCTGGATCCAAAGTCCGATGATTACCCGTTTGATTCCCTCTTTGCCTCGATTTCATTCGGACCACGCGATTCTTTAATTTGCGCGATATTTGATCAAGGTGGCTCGCCGTAAAACACATTAAAGCAGCCAGCGAATTGAACCTTATTTAGCAGAGGTCCGAGAGCGTTTATACCGACCGTTGACGGCCTGATAACCCAACCGATTGCCATCCAGTGATTTCATCCTGCCAGGAAGGAGCTCGGGCTTTTTTCGTCCTTACTTCTGCGGCTAAATCGGGGGTTCAATTTAGGAAAGTGGAAATGATTACTCTCGCCCCGGGAGACACTCGAAACCCGCTTCGATAATTGAGCGAAAAATTAAATTGTTTCCACACCGAGCCAGGAATGCCTTTGAAGCTTGCGCTCGCCGTGGCTTGATGGAAATAACCTGGGCGTCCGCTGCCTGCTAGACCCCCATAGCGGAGCGGTCGCGCTCCGCTAAACTTGTCCCCCGCTTAGCCGGTTGGAAAACTCGATGGCATTAGCGTTCCCTGACCCTAAACCGAACCTACTATAATTCTGCCTGGAGAAAGCTCACCGAAATGATACAATGCTCCCGCTGTGTCTAAACATGACAGAGGTTTTCTTCATTCTCTCTCCTAGCTGAGCTGAGGGAAGTTTGACAGACGGGGGACGTGATGAGGTCTCTGTGGAAGATATGATTGTCTTGTTCTGTTCGCATCGTGAAATGCAGTAGAGGATCCAAAGTAATACTGAGGGAACTTTACGAATATAAACAAGTGAATGTAAATCAGAACTATTGCGCACTCATGAAAGTGTTAACTTTAATGAAGACAAAACAACTTGGTACTACATCGGAAATGTTATGGGGGTAGGCTAAATGCCGGGGAAGATAACTTATGTGGAAAAATTGTATTTGTTTCATAGCTAAAAAACCAAACGATTCCCAACTGGACTATCTGTGAGAACTGTGCACATGCATAGTCTTTTTCAAAGTCTCTTAATTTAAAATTTCACTCAGCCTCAAAAATCCTTCATGATCGAAAAGTGAAACCCTCAACATTTAAGAATTAAACCATGAGGAATTCAGATTGAACATGGGAAGACTCTTGCCTACCCAGGCGGTGAATAAGGGGAGGGGTATGGACAAAAGAGAATAAGTGGATGGTTTTGACCATATCGCGTACGCGTACGAGCATACGGGCCAAGGTGCAAGGGCAACTACTCGTAAGACGGTGATGGGTCCACAGTAACAGCCGAAAAAGTATTACTGCATGAGCTAAGTATTAAAGTTGTTGAATTTCTGACGACAAAATGAGACAGAGAATGTTAACTCCGACTATTTTTTTGCAGACGATCAGCTTTAGTGAACCAGAAGAATGACATTATGATACAGTAAGTCATTGTTTCAGACCTGCCGGACATAATTGGCATTTTATTTAACAAATTAGTCCTTTATAACTGAGAAATAATAAATATTTTGAAACGTTACTACATTATTGCCACAAAAGTATACAAAAATTAGACCTTTTCTTGAAAACAATGCCTAATACTGAAACAATAATGCTTAAATTTTGAAAGTTTAAGATCCACTCTTTACACAAAATGACAGACACTGAGACAAAGAGTCAACAAGTCACTACTTCAGGTTCTGTGTTGTGCCTTTATAGTCCCGTCTGTCGGATTGTCAGCATTGCTAAACCATTAAGTCATTCCTGTCCTAGTTATAACGAGAAGTTATTCTCTCCCTCAGAACAATATCATAATTTCTAGTTGTGAAGTGCATCCCGACCAAAAAGAAAATAATGGATCAACAATTTCCCCTCCATCCCAGGGAGCTATTGAGAGGGAAGATAAATGATATGCAAATGGTGAGCCGGCAGCCCGACACACTAAAGACGTCGGCATTAAAATTTCATGGAGAAAAAATTGCTGGGACAAAACAAAACTATAGCATTAATCAGGTAGCGCATGGCTGGTCCTACGAGTAATCAGGCCCTTAATTTATTGGTCACGGTTTATAAGTGGTCCGCAATCAGGGCAAATTACGACCGTAATGGCACCGTTGAGATTTTGGTAACGAGACCTGATTAGGCGGTCTGATACCGAATTCGCCGGAGATGATGCATGGTGGACGACGTTAACAGTCATAATTTGCGAGACTGGGAGAATGTGAGATGCATAATTCAAAGGCAGCGACCGTGGGGTGAAAACCATGTTTTCTTAGCTTTATAGTTTCCTTCTTTTGCCCACTTCCGATGAAGGGTTTTGGAAAATCTGATTTTCCTGGCATCGCAGTTTTGCTGGTCAAGCCTACAATCACTAGTTTCCCCTTTGTACTGATTGACTGACTGACTGACTAACTCCCCGACAGACTAGACTGTCGCTTGTGAATTAGACTTGCTTTTAAGTCTCACCTTTGCCCAATAGTTTGACTCGGATGACAAGTTGGAAGGATGATGTCAGGTTTTTGAACACATATTTAATAATCTTTACAAACAACAACCTATAAGCCTCTGTACTGATGACGGCACACTTTGTTTACATGTGCACTCTCCTATGGAGCCAGTGGGGGCCCACTTAGCATCATAGGAATGCACACATGTAAACAAAGTGTGACGTCATCAGTACAGAGGCTTATTCTCTGATCCTTTCAAAAGAAAACGACCACAAATAATATCACACGCAAACACTGGTTCTTTTCTTCAGGACGGGAAAGGCCATCCGAGGGCGCTGTCCTCAATAATTGAAGATTGACGGCTATTTCATGGCGCAACCCAAGTGCAACAGAACGGATGAATCGAAAGAAACCAGGGGAAAAGCCCGATTTTAAGAGTAACTGCGGAGCTAAACGCATCAACATTTGACAATTTTTTTAGTTCGGGTGCTGTCAAATGTATGGAGGCAATATAAACCTTATCTGCAAGTTGCAGCTGTTCATGTTTTATAAAGATGAGACATTATACTAGTTCGCACATTAAGCATAAGAATATTACAAGAAATAATGCAGATTTATAAGAATACTATAAGAAATAATGCAGATATATAAGTTTTCAAAATTCAAGAAGAGTTTATCCTTTTTGATGTTGTTTGGATATAGCTAATTGTTTAATCGGGAGGGGAATCGTCACATATTGCTTCATGCGAGAGCAGTGGGCCCATTCTGCCATTAACAACTTTTTTTTGTAACCTTCAATAATAACACATTTACAGGTGATTGTAGGCAGCTTAAAATGGCCATGCAGTACTTTCGTAAATAACAAATAAATGATTCTGTCTGATAGTTCAATACATAATTATTTCATTATTGCAAACTATATATACAGAGGTATTAGGCGTCACTGCTTTAAACTGGTAATAGAAAAATAAAATTGTCGATGATATTTTCTTATTTCATTTACCTCAATAACAGACGCACGCATATAACTGGTGTCCTTTGTCATACAAACTGGTGTCCGGCCTAAAACACTGGTCACTGTTTAGTTGTAGGCGGGGCTGCCCATTTTACTCAAGCCTCGATGATACTTAAGAAGGCCAATCGTGGCACCTCGGCTAACAGGTTTATGCATGCTGAAACATGCAGGAAACTTACACATGACGAGGGGGATACTGGGCGCCCCCATGCGGTCCAACTGCGTTAGTCGACATCCAGGGATGCATGCCGAACCCAGTTGGAAGGTGATGAGGGAATACTGGGACACCGTAGACTGCCTGGGCAGGGTAACAGTTGTCCTGCAGCGAGGGCGCCACCATTCTGTGGTTATAGATAGGAGAGGGCGGTAGCATCGGGTACGTCATTGGCAACTCACTGGACTGTCTTGTGTTACTGGCGACGGCAGAGGGCGTGCTCACACTCGGTGGCGGGGTTGGAACCACAAACTGGTCTGGCTGTGATGCTGTCGGAGGGCATTGCATAGGTCTGACAACCTGGGTACGAGATCGACGTGATGTTGGAGGTTTGGCAGGTGTCAGTTGCTTCTCGGGATGTTGTCGCTTCCAGCGCATGCGTCGGTTTTGGAACCAGGTTTTAACCTGCATAAAAAAATGGAATGAAATATAGAATTGACAACGTTACAATTAGTGTACATAATGCCTCATGTTTGTTTGTTTGTTTGTTTTTAACTTTCTCCTGAAACCAAAGGGAGCTGAAGCTGAGGTTTAGAAAACGCTCTCCTACCTGTGTGTCCTCCAGTGCAAGTTGTTGGGCTAGTTCCCTGCGTTCTCGTACAGTCAGATACATGCTTGTCTGGAAATGAGCCTCCATCATGTCAACTTGCTCCTTGGTGAATGTCGTTCGGCCTTTCCTCCTCTTCAGCTGGGGCCAGTTGACGTTGGGGGCGGGCTCTTCTGATGCTGGTCCTAGAAGTTTTCAGACAAGGGAGTTAGACAGTTATGACACAAAAAAGAAGTGTCTCGGGGAATGATCTACCTGTGTGACCTCTTGGTCAAATTATTGATCGTGGTCCATTTCATAATTGCAATTTAGAATACACAAAGTAATCAGGTATAAATCTACATGGTTACATCCCAAGTCCATCCGATCAAGGTTCAAACTTTGAAAGCAGTTTCGATATCCCCTTTTCTTTTCTTTTATCGCATACCCGTAACATTAAACGCCACAGTACTTTCAGTTTAAATTATACTTTTTCTTTATGTAATAGTTGAAGAATTCTACAAATGTTCTGTACTAACTTTTAATACCGCCGATTTCTCCGTTGGTAATGGGTGCGACGGCCAGAGTTGGACAGCTACTTGGCCGATGACCAGTCATCATGGAATCTTGATAGCCAGGCCCTTGACTACTTGAATACATGGAGGTATACTGTTGGACCTCAGTGGGCGGGCGGTACGGGTGAACCTCTGTGGCAATCTTGAGGAGTCCCCCGCCTTCGGTAGTTGATGCATCTTGAGGATACAGAGGGAAATTGTCGTTTCGGAAGGAGGTGACCACATGGAGAGGGGTCATGAGACGCCTGATTGTAGCCGGGTCCATGGTCTGGCTTATCGGCCAAGACATGAGCTGTGGACTGGTCATTCTGTGGTACACCATCTGGGAACTCTCGGACATGGCTGGAACCGAACCTGGCACCGTCCCAGTCGATATTATCGGTTGCTGGACGGTGGAAGTAGCTTGTCTTTGACAGAGCGAGGAGGGGATACTACACGCAACGATGGAGTGATTGCCGAAGGTGGATCCTTGCTCGGCGAGGTAGTTGCTTCGGTTTGTCAGTGTTGAGACGGCGTCCTGGCTGTTTGTGAACATGTCATCAACCATGGTGTTTTCCATTGTGTTTTGCGTCCTGTAACCTCGTTAAAGGTTAACACCGATGTGTGATCTCTTCTCCAACTCGGCCTAAATACAGGAAGTGACCGCCATCAATGTACGTTAACAGTCCAGGAAGCAGTCTGGACCTCTAATGACATAAGCCTTCAATAGCTGCCTTCCATACCTCGAAATCCGTTGATTATGTCGCTTTTGTTCCTCAAAGAATGCGCACAATTAGGTCAGACCGTTCCACAAGGGACGTTTAGTAACGCTCTCAGTGGAATTAGATGACTGAGCGGTGCTTAGGGTGTTGTCCAGAACTTAATTGTTCTTTTTATGAGCGCGGGGCACAGTTTCTCAGTATTCCTTATGCATTGTATTTGCGTGTAAGTCTTTGATGTTTAAGGCTAATATACACGTAATGAGCTTTCGAGGAAAGGGTCGATTCGCCCGAATTGTCAACAGCAAAAGTCAGTTTCCCGCCATGCTGGGGTTCTATAGACCATCTGACTAAGCGCCAATGGTCTATTCAAGCTTTTCATCTTGATACTTTATAAAAATCCATACAAGAATAAAACTATAAAGTACAATTATTTTGAAGTCGGCATTCCTGTGCGTTTTTGGCACAGCACCGTCATCAATTTAAATTTGGTAGCTAATAACGACGCTATTAATGAGACCAGTCCGCGGAAAGATATCAAAATTATTTCAGCTTTCGCAAGCAGACCGGGTCTAGTCTTTTTGCTTGCATTTCGATTCAGTTTCTTAGTCGTTTAGTCATGTTTCAGGAATGTAAAATTGGCAACAATTAGCCCCCAGATACGAAAATATGATCATTTATTTTCGATTTGAGTTTATGAAAATAATAATAATCAATTATGCTTTTGAAAAAATCGTCCAAAATCGAATATCGTTAAGAATCGGACATAATCATGGACAATCGGACATATCAACGTACAGGCTGTTTTAATATTCTCATGTGGGCATCTCATAATATAGAACGTCTGTCATTTAAAAAAAAAAAGGGAAGGGGCGGGAGACAAAGATTTGGAAGTGGGTGTGCCGTTTTCCCAATGATGTTGCTCTGATATTTTGTGGAACATTTGCTCTTACGTTGTATACGCTCTATCGTTGCACCAGATGCAGCTATTGTTATTTTTTTCTCAAGGAGCATGGTTACACCCAAACAGTGACTACCCAAAGAATATCCCCGCAAACAATTTCAAGAGGGAATAGTTCATGGAAGGCGGGAGAACTAATCTCGGAAGGGTTTGGGTACCGAATGAAATGATGTCCTATCTGTAAACTACGTTACAAATAAAAGTACTGCAGTGTTTTTTATTGTCACATCAAGTTTGTATGGGATTACAATTAATACTGTGCTTGGCCCTTCCCCCCCCCCCCCCTCCCCCTGTATCATTACCCTGCATTGTAGGCAGCGTATTTTTCCCCTTGGAGCCATCTCTGAATGTAGGTCTGCCTCAATTGCCGCTTGAAATCACCGCTCGATAACATTTTATGGGTACTTTATCTGGGGTGTTTTTGTTTTGTTTTGAACTTTTGCCACGTGGGTATTTACACTTAATATGTGGGTTTTGTTCACATAGTGTTGGGTGCTGACGGGCTTACTGACCAACAAACAGATCTCGCGTCAAACCAACATGACCAACAAAACTATTTCGGGAGTGCGCCCTCTTTTGATCTTAGGATGGCAATAATCAAAGTCAGGTGCTCAACAAAACTTGCACAAGCAGCTTGTAATTCCGCATTAAGACGTAGGGTTTAAGACATTCCAACGTGTGAAGGAAGTTTGGCAGTCGTAAGATTATGCGGCACATACAAACTTATCGCGAAAATTCACCTATGCAAATTGGGGTCAACACGCCCCTCATTATGACGTCAACGTTGAGTTCGTGCTTGCGCTCATGCCATCAATTTCAGCCCGACTCACTTCAGTTTTATGAATGAAATCATTATGCATCGGAGAGTGAACATGCCAGAAATTTACAGTAGAAAAGCTCATGATATCTGCTTTCTTTTGCCGAAGAAAGCGTCAAAATCGATGAAATATTGCCTGAGTTTTGACAGTTCAAACATTTTTTAGCGTGTTTTTTTTTAGGAACCAAAACTTCTTATTTTTCGACGGAGTCCATCTTTTTAATCCTAAATTTCTTTCTTCTCGAATTTGGTTGGGGAAAACCTGAATTAGTTCCATATAGAACAGGTTTTCAGCTTTTTAGTGGTGTGGCACATGTGGGTGGTCGGTCTGATACGGCGATGGTCGCGAGCAATATGCATAAAAATTGCTCGCTAGAACTGCCCAAAATTGCGAATGATAGTGAAGTAATCACGTGATATAAACACGTGCAACGTGCATGAGATATATATAGCTCAGTGGAAGACGGTTACGAAGATTAAAGGGATCCCGTTTGATTAAAGGGATCCCGTTTGATGAAATGTGTGTGTGTCTCTTTTTTTCTGTCCCTTTTCCCCTGTATCCCGATGCGACGGGGTTGGGCGGTGGGTTGGGGTGGGGATGGCCCGCGGGTGGGGCGGGGGAGGCCTGCAGGTGGGGTGGGGGCGGGGGGGGAGGGGGAGGGGGAGGGGGAGGGGATGGGGTGGGGGCGGGGGAACAAAGACACAGTGGGTGGAATACGCACATTCTTTGGGTGAAGGGCCATTGCATATATCCAAACACCTTGAGGGGTGGGGTGGGGTCCCCTGGGTGGGGGGAAAGGAACGGGAGGGGGGTACTGAGAACCAGGATAATGGAATATTTCCTGTCTTTCATTTCTAACACCTGCACCATATCAGGACTCCATGGAAGGGGAGTGCACATAAGGGGTTGCCGGTGGAGGGGGGGGGGGCGTGGGGGAGGATGCCTCGTGAGTGTAGAGGGGGTCGGGGGTAGAGTACTCAAAACCAGGAAGCTTAAAATCCGGGGGGGGGGGGCTCAAAAGGAGGAGGGTGGAATTTCACATTTCCTTTTCTTTTTTTCGGTCCTTGCAACATATCCCGACCCTAGTGGCCGGTGGGTGGTGGGGGCCCCCACCAACACAGAAATCTTGATATGCAAATTAGGTAAACAGCGCCGCTCATTATAGCATCATCATGAAATTCTTGCTGACGCGCATGCCATCTACTTCGGCCAATTTTCGGCCAGACTCCTTCAGTTTTATGAATAATATCACTGTAGGCCTACATCGGAGGATGCACCTGCCAGAAATTTACATGCTGAAAGCAACAGAATGATGTCCGCTTCCTTTTGCCGAAGACAGCGTCAAAATGAAAGGGTGAGTTTTGACGATTAAAATATTGTTTTCGCGTTTTCCTTTTTGGAACTCAAACTTCGTATTGTCCAAGGGAGTCCATCTTTTCAATCCTGTTTTTCTTCCTTCCAACATTTTGTTTGAAATCAAATGAATTAATTCCGAGTAGTTGAGTTTTTTAGCTGGTGAATGGTGTGGCCTAAGTGGGTGGTCGGTTTAATAGTGCGATGGTCGCGAGCAAAATGCATGGAAGTTTATCACTGGAACTGCCAAAAATTGCGAATGATTGTCAATTATTGATCACGCCGGCTATATCCGGCCCGCCGGCACCGCGCGCGTTCTAATAAAAACCCAAGATTAATAAAATGATCGGTTACACCTCTATGTTCCGACACCCCTATGTTCCGACTGCACATATTCCTATTCCTAACCCTAACCCTAACCGGGAGTAACACAATCTAGGTTGTCGGAACATAGGGGTGTCGGAACATAGAGCAGTCACCAAATAATCAAGATGTTTTGTTTTCTGATAAATGATGTGACTTTATTATTGGGAATACCACTTTCTTTTTTTCCTTTCCCCTGCCCTGGATACCATATTCCGACCCTGGGGATGGGGCGGTGGGGGGGGGGGGGGGGGGGCGGAGCGTGGTGTTCAAACCACGCCAAGAGGGCTGAAATTGTTTTTTCCAACAAGTGAAGTTTGTCTTTTAATTTGGTGCAATGACGTTCCCGACCAGACTTTCTTTTACTGCGATATCATGGACCGGGCCGGGGTTGAGGCGGGACCGTATCATAAGTCCGACGCCTCATAGGTCCGACGCCTCATAAGTCCGAAATTTCGGACTTATGAGGCGTCGGACTTTATTTATTCCGCCTCATAGATCCGACGCCTCATAAGTCCAACGCCTCAAAAGTCCGACAACGGAAAAACGAGTGTCGGACTTACGAGGCGTCGGAGCTTTGAGGCGTCGACCTATGAGGCGTCGGATTTATTAGGCGTCGGACCTATGAGGCGTCGGACTTATGGGCCTTTATTTGGTTAGGGGATGTGATTTTGTCGGACTTATGAGGCGTCGGACTTATGAGCGGACCCCGTTGAGGCCGGGTAGGGGTTGTGGGGGGGATTTCCCAAAACAAAGAGGGTGGAATGTCCTTTATGTTCTTTTAGTTATTAATCCTAAGACGTGCTGCTCTTGGGGGGAGAGAGGTGGTGGGGCCACATGAGTCGGGGGGGGGGGGGGGGGTTAAGGTACTCCAAACCAGGAGGGTTGAATATCCCGGGGAGCATCAGAAGGGGAGGGCCTGGAATTTCCCAATCTTCTTTTGTTTTCATCATCATCATCATCATCATCATCATCATCAGACGTGGTAGGCTACTGCCCGTTGACGCAACAACCGTCCACTTCTTCTGGGTTGTGTGACTGGTGAAGGGGTGATTTCCTTCGCTGAAGGGTCGCCGCAGTTAGTTTATCCACGCTGAGACCGCTCCATCTGGTGAGGCCGTCGATCCAGCGGAGTTTGGTCATTGCATTATATCCCGACCCTTGGAGACAGAGGGTGGGGGCCCCGACAAACTATTCACAGAAACCTTCGTATGCAACTAGGCGAACAGCTCCGCTCATGATGACGTCATTGTCAAGTTCTTGCTTCATTACGCGCATGACATCGTCTTCGGCCAATCTCACTGGGAGTCCATCTCTTCAATCCTATTTTTCTTCTTTCCAACATTTGGTTCGAATTCAAATGAATTTATTCCAAATAGTTGAGGTTTTCAGCTGTCGAATGGTGTGCCACATGTGGGTGGTCGGTTTGATAGTGCGATGGTCGCGAGCAATATGCATTGGCATTTTTCGATGGAACAGCCAAAAATTGCAAATGATTTTCAATAATTGATCACGCCATCACCGCTTGCGTTCTAATAAAAAAAACAAAATTAATCTAAAAAGCAAGATTTTTTGTTTTCTGATGAATGATGCACCTTTATTACATTATTGGGAGTAGGCCTACCCCTTTCATTTCATTTCCCCTGTCCTGGATATCATATTCAGACCCCCGGGGTGTGGCGGGGGCGGGGTGTGCGGTTCAAGCCATGCCAAGAAAGCTGAAATTATTTTCTTTTCCAACAGTGATTTTTGTCTTTTTACGGTGGTGGTGCAATTACGTTCCCGACCAGACTTTCTTTTTTACTGCGAGAAGGGACTGGGTTGGGGTGGGGGGGGGGGGGGGTTGAGGCCGGGTAGGGGTTGTTGGGGGTCGGGGGATTTTCTTCCAGTGATTCTAAGTTCCAAATCTGCATGCCCAGTGGGTGGGTGTGGGAGTGGGCAGGGCTGGTGGATTTACCAAACAAAGGATTGCATATTCTTCAAGTGATTTTATTCAGACTTGCTTGCCCGTGGGTGGAGGGGGGGGGGGGACGGGTTGGATTTCCCAAAACAAAGAGGATGGAATATCATTCCTGGGAGAGAGAGGGGGAGAGAGAGGTGGAGGGGTTATAGTACTCCGAACCAGGAGGGTTGAATATCCCCGGGAGAGCCGCAGATTGGGAGGGCCTGGAATTTCTCAATCTTCTTTTGATTTGGTCCTTGCATTATAATCCCGATCCTTGGGGCAGAGGGTGGGGGCCACAACAAACTATTCACAGAAACCTTCGTATGCAAATTAGGTGAACAGCGCCGAATTTTATGACGCAATCGTCAAATTCTTGCTTTAAAATACGCGCATGACATCGTCGTCGATCAATTTCGGCCACTCTCGCTAGGAGTAGGAGTCCATCTCTTCAATCCCGTTTGTCTTCTTTCCAGTATTTGGTTCAAATTCAAATGAATTTATTTCGAATAGTTGAGGATTTTAGCTGTCGAATGGTGTGCCACATGTGGGTGGTCGGTTTGATTGTGCGATGGTCGCGAGCAATATGCATGGACATTTTTCGAAGGAAATGCCAAAAATTGCGAATGATCAGTTAGTCTGTATACAGTATACACGTACGTACGTGCAGCAGAGCAGGGGATCTACCCGATGTTCCCCAATACCGATGTTCCCCAATACCGATGTTCCCCCAAATCCATAGGATTAGGGTTAGGGTTAGGGTTAGGGTTATATTGGTAAGGATTTCGAGGAACATCGGTATTAGGGAACATCGGAATTGGGGAACATAGACATGCACCCGTGCAGGAGCTATGGAAGAAGCGTTACAAAGCAAGGATTCCGTTTGTTGATGGCCTTTTTTTTCGTCCCTTACTATCCCAAAGCGACGGGACGGGGTTGAGTGGGTGGGGTGAGGGAGGCCCGCGGGTTGGAGTGCAGGTTGGAAGGGTGGGGAGATAGGGGGCGGTGCACCGGGAACACTCCATGCACATTGTGTATTGACCCTTTTGGCCTTGCCAATTATCCCGACCCCTTGGGGCGGGGCGGGGATAAAATTTCCTTTGTTCCTAATTTTTCCTTTTTTCCGTGCACCATTATCCAGACCCCGGGGAAGGGGGCGTTAGGGACGGGGGGAGGGGCGAATGGGGGATGGGGGCAAATGGGGGATGGGGCCGCGTCCCCACTTCTACGCCTGTGCAATTAAGCGTGCGTGTGTGTGGGTGTGTGTGTGTGTGGGGGGGGGGGGGGGGGGGGAGTTTAGAGTACTCCGAATCAGGAGGTTGGAATATCATGGTTTTTTTTATTCACCCTTTGCGCTGTCCCCTGGCGCGGAATGGAATCGTCACCGACACCACGAAGTAACACCCATCTACATACCAGTAAAAACTGGCAATCGGAGAAAACGGCAACTAAAGTTGAACGCCTTCTAAAACAGCACTTTGCGTCAAAACGACAGAGTATTTTCAGTTGGGTTTCTCGTTCTGGACATTTGATGAATTGAATTTATTAAATTTGCTGTTTTTCACTCGTTTGTGTATTAAATAAACAAGAAATAAGAGAAAAAAGATGAGTGTTAGTTCGTGAAACCAAAAAAGCTGCGAAACTGTAAATTTTCGTTTTCACGAAGTAACGCTCTTCAATGTATTTAACATGAGGAAAGTGCAACTTCAGGTCAGCACGCGCGCGCTCATACAACTTGCTACAAGAAGAGTGTTACTTCGTGAAAACGTTTTTGCTCACTTATGAGCAGAGTGCGCGCCATGCATTGCAATGGAAAATGGAACTTGAGTGTTACTTCGTGAAAACGAAATTGTCACTTTTGCGCAAAAGTTGCCATGGATACTTAGCGTAATTATTAAAGTAAAGCTCTTGAAGCTTTGGAACTTCGTGCAATGGTAGGCCTTGATGAATAATGTTAAAAAATCCAGAAAACTGAAAATCGAAAAAAATATGCTTTAACACGGTAGTGTTACTTCGTGGTGTCGGTGACGGAATATGGGGTGAAAATATCTTATTTTCATGCAATGATGTTTTTGGGTTTTTTTTGGGGGGGGGGGCTTTATACGAAAACTTAAAAACAGTAATCATGAAAAATATAAAATTTAATAAAAATGCAAATTGCAGAAACGAATATCTCATATCTATTTTGTGAAAATGTTGTGGCTCTGAAAAGAGCCGTTTTGGTTTTAGTTTGTTGATTCGATGATTTCTTCGAAGGCTTGGCCGACACTTTCTTCTGCTTGCTCGATGTGTTCTTGCTGGCTGGCTTCTTGGCTGGCTTCTTGGCTGGCTTGGCTGGCATGGCTTGGTGGAGGATTTCTTGACAGATGTATATTTGACTTGGATGGCGTTTTCTTGGCAGCTTTCTTGGGTGACTTCTTCGGCGCGGGTTTCTTGACTTTATTCACCATTTTGGCTTTCTTGGCTTTTCTGCAATCTTGGCTTTCATTTCCCGTTCCTTCTTGGCCTTGATTCTCTCCTTCTCCTTAGCTGCATTAGCCTTGGCCGGCAGCCTTCTCTTTCTCCTCGGTGGTGTCAAACTTGAACGTACCAGCGGCTCCCTTACCTGCCATCCGAGTGAGCCTCCAACTTCATTGATTCATGTTTTATTATTTAAAAGTTTACTCTAGCATGGCTTATTACACAGAAATTCTTAGGGTGGATTATCTGGATCCGCACGTCCGTACCCCCGTGGGCGTACCAAACACCTCCCGCATGCAAAAAAAACCATATCTTTTTTCGCCTCTTTGGCCGACGTTCTGACTTGGTGGGTCCTTTTTCCGCAAGTTCAGAATATTTTCTCTAAAAATTGGTGCAAAATACATGTATTTGAAATGCCTTCCTTTGTCAGAAACCAACAAAATAGAAACTGCATTCTCATGTTTAGACGATACACAATGACATCAGAGGAGAATAACAATCAGTACTGACGAACTATTCGCTCACAAGATGCCTTTGATCACTAGTTCTCCATAATTATTTAGAGTATTTTGTATTCGGAGTATTCATCATTTTCCATCGTTTCTGACCTTTCAATAACATTGGACTTAAAGGGAAATCTTAAGGGCTCCGCTAAGCCTCATATCATGAATTATGTCAGACGCATATAGGCCCCAAGTCCGGCAAAATCTAATATAAGGCCCATAACTGTTATAAAATTCCGACGCCTAGGTCCGACACCTCATCAGTCCGACGCCTAATAATTTGGAAATTTCGGACTTCCGAGGCGTGGCGGGGGTCCAGGTTTATCATCGGAGGAGTCGGACTTGCGATATATAGGCCTAAGGCCCCAACCTTGATAGTATAGCCTCCCATGCAGCTACGGAACAACTCGAAATTTGGTTAATCAGGGTATATATATATTGTTTTATTTCGTAGTACTATGCAGTTTTCTTTGACCATGGAGGGATGGTTTGACTTTCAGGTTTTGAGTTATCAGTGTTGACTTTATCCAGATTTCGCTTATTCCAATTTGTCAGCGTTTTCACGAAGGGGTGAATTTGCCGCAATAGGTGTTGGGGTTTAACGGTTAGGGTTAGGTTTGGGGAACAGGTATAACATAATGCACCCGTTGAACTTGCAGTGGTTGTCAGAAAAGAGGTTTTAAGTTGGTCACGATTTGGAATAAACATTTCGCATACTACTGACTAACTTTTGAAACACAGATGAAACTTCAAAGATGTACCAATTACAGAATAATGGAACAACAATTGCGAGGTACCGGTATCGTAACTAATCCCCATAGATGTTTGTCTGGTCGTGAAAACTAAATCCCACACACTTGTTGTTTTGGCAAATTGCCGATACCCATTCCCCACCCTTTGCACGAATTTGTCTCTTCGTAAAAAATCAAAAGACATTCAGGTGAAGTTTTCTCAACATTGATTGTTATGATTTCGTTGATTTTATCTGATTTTGACCCAGACTTCTTTCCAAAAAATGTTCGTTGCGTGCAATTTCAGCCGGAACAAGAATTTTGAAAAAAGGTATGATTTTTGGATTGATAATTTAGTCCCTCCGTAAAAACGCTGAAAACCTTTTGCAATTTGATTCAAAAATTTCAAAACTATTTTTTAAAAGACTTAAATCTAAACATTAATGTGGCCTGACGTTGCGAACTTAGCAAGTTCTTCTTCAGAGGCTAATAAAACAGAAATGACAGAGGCACATGCATTAACAAGGGGGTGCACACAAACATGCAGGGGTGAAAGAAGAAACACAAAAGGAGGATTAGGTGGGAAAGGTGTGGAAAGATGCAGGGGAGGGTGGATGAGAGAACAAAGAAACAAAGGGAGATGGCAAACCACAAGGGGTCTGGTATGAACAGGGGAGGGACCAGAAAGACTTGTCATGCTTACTGCTTACTGCTTACTTACTCTGATTCGATTTTTAAAGAACGGGTTTTTGACTATGTATTAGCCTGGGGGAGATTATAATCTGGATTGTTTGTTTTGCGTCTGTTCTTTGACGACTCTTCGGAATTGCCCCCATGATCTACCCCTTTCGTGAAGTTGGCATCAAGTGTATTTCCTTTTATTTTCATGCCTTTGTTGTTATAACTTCTCGACATTATTGACAAGTGGTGAACATTCATATTCGTACTTGTATTAGTCATCTAAATTAAAAGCAAACACATTCTTGTCCTGGTGTAAATCAAAGAGTAAAAACAGTAAAAACAGCATGCAAGAACTGACAATAGTAAAACTTACATTTAAATTAACCTATGAATAAAATATGCCTGTAAAACACAATAATTTTTAAAATGATAACATAAAGACTGATAGCAAAAAGACACGATGCCTATCCGCCCTGGGCTAGCACTATGACAATGAAATATAACTTTAAAAATATGCCGGGGAAAAAAGGATAAAGAACTTTAAAAATGTTTCTTTTTTCCATCGTCGTAAAATACTAAAAACCACAGGTGCAGATTTTGAAAAGTTATTAAACGTAAATAAAGTTATTTTGTACTGTGTTTTCCAGTGGCTAATTCACAACAAATGATGTAGAGATCTAAACGGTCTTTCATATTTGCTGTATTATTATGTAACTTTGAATATACATGTAATGCCAAATTGCATTTTGGTCAAAAATAAAATGAAGCAAGCTTCGAGTCGAACTCCGATTTGAAAAAATTGACTTGAAGCTCGCCGATCCATCCAATACATGTACATACACGTATACGTATTTGTATGCAGCATGTATGCATAGTGCCTTGCCGTGGCGTGGGAACGTATCAGATTACATATCGGCCGACCGCAATATCGATCGGTTCAAAAATAGATGGTCCGCGCGGGAATTGACCTGGATTGACCCGCAAACGTTCGGGTTGTCTGTGACGTAGGCAAGTCACCGACATATTTTTCTAAAAATGACTGCAAGTGCGCAGGCGTGCAAATTCCCGCACGATGCATAGGCCAAGTTCGTATGTGTGCGGTGACGAAGTTCTCTGTAAGTCTGTTAAAATTAATCATAAAACTCACAATAAGCTGTTTGTATTTGTAATTAGCGTCAAATATTGTGGTTTAATTGGAATACATATTCAGGAGGTCTTAACAAGTGATCCCTCGGCAAGAATCCGAATTTTCCATTGGTCCATGATCGAATACGTTGCATCCGTTTCGTGAAAATGCCAAATCAGAAGAATGTCGGTCGTTTCGTACCCAAGTCGTTTCGTACCCAGGTTGTTTCGTACCCAGGTCGTTTCGTACCCAGGTCGTTTCGCACCCAGGATTCATGTTTGTCTTCTATATTGTAGCGTGATTTTCTTTGGTTGCTTTTCAGTTTTTCGAATTGTACTTTTTATAATTAGGCCCAAAAAAAGAAAGAATAGTTCTGCTTCCGGTTACCCGACCGACCCTATTTTTAGGCTGCGACCCTAAAAATTGTATCGGCGATTCCAAAAAAAAAAAATTAAAAAATGATTGAATAAATAAAAATAAAAATCTTATGTCTTGTCTGTCTTTACAAAGTACCTCTCAACAACCCTTTTGCATCAAAAAAATGCTTGTATTTATTGTTTTCTTACTTACATTCGCTGTTTTTTCAAAAGAAAACTCCGTTATTTTTACAAATTCACTGCGCGATTCAACTACATGTACTTCGCAATTCGATGTCTATAATCACGTGCATAATAAGCGCAATGCGGCGACGACTGGTTCCCGCCGCGCCGCGCAGGGGCCAATGATGAAATGCGGTAACTAGTCTGTGCACAGCTATGCGATCGATAGCGCTAGCATGGCTATGCAGGCGCAGGCACGTGCTCAGCGCTCTGTCAACTGGTCGGATTCGACATCGTAAAAATGCTGAGAAAGACATCGTAAAAATGCCAAGAAAACACCGATGGAGAAAGAACATTTTTGCAAGTTAATTCACAGATTTGATCTAGCTTGTCTGTGTATGTATTTTCCGTGTTTGCATGACTGGCTTAATCTCCTTTGTGCATCATAATTGACTGGGTACGAAACGACTTGGGTACGAAACGACTTGGGTACGAAACGACTTGGGTACGAAACGACTTGGGTACGAAACGACTTGGGTACGAAACGACCTGCTTCGAATCAGAATACTGCACTAAGTATTCTGATTTGGCATATTCAATAAATGACTACACGCACACAAAACTCAAATGAAAAGATTGTGAAGTTATAAAGTACAGGCCTTTCTTTCGTTTTACTTCTATTCCGTAGTGACTAAGGTTTTTCACTGTTTTTTTTTCAGTAAAAATAAAATGACTTCATAATTCTTCAAGTTTATCTCAAGTTCAAACTGTTCAACTTATTTTTCTAATGTAGTGGCTAGTGCTACTAGTTGCTATCGTTTAATACGACAGCCGTAACTGGTAATGCTATTTTCAACTGCTGTCGTTACAGAACCATTTGGTTCCCTGACCTAGGCCTAGTAGTAATAGAATTCAATACAATTGTATAGGATCATTGTATATACTCCATGGGCAATACTTGTTGGGTCCCAAAACGAGACAGTTTTTCTTCTAAATAAAACACAGTGTAATTGATAAAAAGAATATAACAATTAAGATAAGACTAACTTTGGAAAAAAATAAACCGCTTTGTATTGTTGTTTGTCAGATAAACATGTTGGTGTTGACTGGAGTTCCAGATGGCCTGTTACCGATTACTGACCCCCACTCGTCTTATCTTGGTCGTCTTGACTGTCTGCTTGACCAGCTTCATTCTCTTCTCCATCACTGACGACTGTACCTGCGCCAGCATCGATGTCCTGGTGCAGAAAGTACGCAATCTCCAAGAGGAAATTAGGACTAAAGATGATGCACTTACAAACTGCAAAACGGCTAAGAGAGGCGGCGAGGAGGGGGATGATGCGGTGGGAGACGCGAGCTGGGACCCTCATGTCCTCTGCATTCTTGTGCCCCACCGGGATCGCTTTGAAGAGCTGATGGAGTTTGTGCCGTACATGGACAAGTTTTTATCACAACAGATGGTGCGGCATAGATTTGTAGTTATTAACCAGATTGACGCGCATAGGTGAGTCGATTGCCTGACTGGGGAGGAAAGGAGCCGGGGGTACATGTAGGTGGGGGGGGGGGGGGAGCTCTTGTGATGTAAGATGCATTTACAGACAGAATGACAGAATTGTACAACTACTACTAAACTGGTAACTTAGTTTTAACCCTAACTCTCACAGAGTCTTCAAAATCAACAAGTGTGTTTGTAATATTTTGCATGGAGCTCAACTCTACCACAAATAATCTACATTTGACTTAGTTGCCTTGGAATATTAAATATAAAAATGTTCTATTGGGACTTTGCAAATTGTCAGGGTTTTTTTGCTGGGGGGGGGGGTGTACATTTTGGAAGGATTTTCTAGTGTGGTCATGGATACACAAGTTGGGGGTAGTCTCTGGATCAGACATTCACGCGTGCAGAGCCACGGTCGAATGTCTGATTATCCTAAAATGCAGATTTTATGCAATCCCTCGTGGCACAGGAGAGAATCAGCCAACAACTCTACTCACATATGGTCCGAGCCGGGAATCAAACCCAGGCCACAGTGGTCAGAGGCGGGCACTTTACGCACGAGCCGACCATCTTATCATGTATCTTAAGTATGTGCCATCCATGCCTTTCCCTGCCTCAGATTTAACAGAGCATCACTTCTCAACGTTGGCTTCAAGGAGTCTCGTGACAAGTGCAACTACATCGCCTTGCACGATGTGGACCTTCTTCCCAGAAACCCTGCCATCACATACCACTATTCCAATGTGAAGGATGGGCCTTATCATGTGTCTGCTCCAGAACTTCACCCTAAATATGACTACGAAGAGTTCATTGGTGGAATTATTTTGATGTCGGTAGAACAGTTTGATCAAGTAAGTATTCATGATTAATAGTAACCTTTCTGAATTCCTTAAATACACTAGAAGGTTTTGTAAGATTTTGTAGGATTAATGCCCAGCCAGTATTAGATAATACAGGGCTTGAAATTGCAGTGGAGGAAGGTTCCACTGTAATAAGCGCAGGGAGTTAGACTTGCAATGTAAAGGAGCCTATACAATGGAATTTGTGTAAAGGTAGAGTAGATCATTTGCAGCTATCTCATTGTTTATTGCTGACCAAAGAGTTTCCTCACAGCATGGCCAAGCTTTCTGTCAATACCCTTTGGCAGTTCTTGCAGTGTACTGTGGTTCACCCCAAAGTACAGTGGCAGATATTGGCGGGCTGTGCAAAAAACATGGGCGAGTCACTTTTTTTCAAATACTGAAGTGATTTGGAGGATCAGGTAGAGAAAGGGTTAAGTAAACTTTGTCAAGCAGAAAGTGGTTTTATGAATTTGAGATTTATATTATATTTATATTATATTATATTTGTATATGCCATGATGAAGACTATATTACGTTTCAAAATGAAAGAGTGCTAATATTTTTTTCTTCTGATTTTGCCCAACCTGTCATTAGTTGAACGGTTTATCCAATCGATTCTGGGGGTGGGGCAGAGAAGACGATGAGCTGTACATGAGGATACAAGAAGCACAAATGAAGGTTAGTAACTCTACCTTACCTTCATCAGTCATTCATTCATTCACTCGTTAGACAGGCATTTGCCCGTGGTCTCCTCCTCAAATTATACACAGTTTGGATCACTGGCTCCGCTCCCACCACAGCCCGTCTTTCCAGTGCTGCTGCCTATAGTTCGTTGGTGTCACACCCAGACCATTCACGGATGTTATCCAACCAGCGCATCTTTGGACGGCCCACGGAGCAACGACTGCCTTGCACCCGATCACTACCTTCATCCTAACCCCAAAATCCTTATGAATCAATCAGGGTTTTCTTGATGATGTCAAAGGATTGAGGATCTTTATAAACTTGTTGGAGTTGAGATTTTTATGTGTGGAGTATTGTGGTTCAGTGTAGCATTTTGAAAAGCGATGCAAGAGTTTTTTTTTTAATGAAATCTTTGAATTTCACCTTCGTGGCCAATAAGTTATAATTTTCGGATTTTGTACATTTCAAAAGGCACTTCCAGTTCTTTACGTTAATGTGAATATCTTTATTTGAGGGACAAAAGGTCATGTCATCTTGGCAGAAGCTTAAGTCTTATAAGCTACTTTGAATATTAAAAAAATGCCTTATTTGTTTTATGTGTGTGGGCAATTGTCGGGGCATTGTCAGGTCAGGGAACCAGACTAGCTGGATTGCACCCGTTCACGGATACATGTATGTGACCGATCGCAAACAAAATGTGGACTAACTAACTTCAGTAAATTGGAGCAATTTAAACTAACTTTATAAATTATTGAAAGTTAATATCATAAATACTTTGATGTTCATGTCAGTTTTTACTCATTTTACCCTCGACAGATTACCAGGCCCAAAGGCATTACCACTGGAAGAAAAACATTTTTCCACATCCACGACAAGAAACGAAGGAAAAGGGACATGAAGAGAATCGGCAACCAACATAGGGTAAGGAAATGTCAACTGTGCAAGTAGTGGTGGGAGAACTCGGAGATCTCAAAACCGGTTATCCTTTTTTTTTTTCAAACCGAATAATGGTTATCTGATTTCAATGAAAGTTCCCATCCAGCTCACAGTCTTGCCAACAAAAATGTGACGGGTGAGGCGCCGCATTAAATGCCCTCCAAATGACTGGGTATAGTTTGCAGGATTCAATGACCACTGGGCCTTTACAAAAACACTCCAGAGCTGTAATGTCAACAAGAATGGATGTGAACTTTCTGCTAAGTCAAATGGGTAGGCTATTCGTATACTTTAGACCAAAGGATTTGCGATGAACTTGTGATAGTCTTGAGTAGGAGTTACTATCAGTCCAGTAGGTTGGATTCCAGTGCCATATTTGTGAACCAAAGTCAGGGGCTTTAATTAGGTTTATCGCACGCAGTGAACAAAAGGATTGTTTTAACCCCCGACTTTGGTTCACAAAAATGGCGCTGAAATCAAAACTACTGAACCGAATCGGGAGTTTTTGTTATCATTTTTCTTCTAACAAAATTTCCTAGCCATACATATCAATTGTTTAGGTCTCTGGATATTGGAAGTATGAGGTTGTGTTTTTTGGGGACCACCCTGTATATTTTACACATAAAGCAGAGCTGACCAATGGCAATGAAGGAAAGATACATATTGAAGAGTGTCACACAGCCTGTAAACTATCACTTCTTGGTTATATTTTCAGGAATCCTTTCACAGAGACAGAGAAACAGGGTTACACAATGTCCAGTACAATGTGCGCAGCCGTCAACAGCTCAGCATCAACGGGGCCAAAGCGACTTTGTTACACGTGAAGTTTGACTGTGATGTGGAGGCTACCCCTTGGTGCGATGATTCGTAGACGTCCAACTTGGAGCTAAACCCTATTACCTTCTCAGATCCCTCAAAATCCATCCGGATGTTTTGTAAGATTTTGCAGGATTGAGGAAAGCAGAGCCCAGCCACTGTTATGAGTCCGAAACTGGCTTCCAGAGCTACGGCTAAGTCGGTTGTGAGGATAATCCCATGTAGTTGTAATGATTGAAGACCTAGACCATAGCTCTAGATTTGGATGCTGCCTTACTTGATGCCTGTTAAAACTTTTTAAGTGTAAAGAAAGTGTCATTGGGCTCCTGCATGTATAGTGGAGGATTTCGGAGGATCTAGGAACGGCATTAGCAAGTTTTCCTTTGTAATATTCACTATGAACTGTGGACTGTAGACTACGCCCCGTGACCACTCGTGAAAGTTTGTAGGGGAGACACGTGCGTTCGTTCACTTGTTTCCCGTGCATATGGCATGAAGTAGGGACGATGAATTTTGATGTGTCTTCGTGGGAGTGGCAGGTGTACTGTAGCAGTGCATTCAAGCCCCTCGCACTGGTCCCCCTCTCTTTGTAAGCGAGCGAGGGGGTACTTTTGCATCGAGTCCACCATGAGTCTACTGCTGTAAACTCCAGGCTTGTTACCGTAGACTAGAACACGGTGTGATGGCTGTGTTTCCAGCTCCTAAGTGTGTGTCAATGCATTGTTCCCTGTTGTCAAGCTAATTTTTTAACATAGTACAATCGAACCTCGTTAGAACAAACTCTGTTAATACAAAATTCTGGTTATAACAAACATAAAGCTTTAGTCCCGCCTGTGCATTTATGTGCACAATGAATGGGACTGATGTTCCTCTAATAATACAAAATTCTGATATAACAAACAATTTGGTTATGTCTGAACGAGTTTGTATTGACGAGACACGACTGTACATGTATTCCCTGCCAAAACATGTGGGCAGTTTGATTCGGCTAAATCCATGAGCTTTTTTGTCATAACCAAAGGAATTTTATATAACCCTATGCACCTCCATTGGGTAAACTGTATGCTGCAAATATTAACAGCTTGCTTGTTTTTTTTTCAGTTCAAACACATTATGCAAATAACCGTATTCAAACCCAATAAGTACATGTAGTGTTTTTGACGTCTCCGATAAACAGTTCATGCAGTCTGACGCTTACCAATGGTCTCACCAAGATTATCAGGGTCTGGCATGTGATCTGCTTGCTCCCCCCTACTTACAAAATTTGGAGATGACAAATTGAGCTTTTTGTTGTTAGACTTAGAACCCCCCCCCCCCTGAAAAAAATCTGGACCCTATTAATATCACTGAGAAATCCGAAGGACACTTTAGAATTTGGCGATGTACAAAAATACACAAAAAAAGGAAGGCCTGATTTCTTCAACATTGACATTCCATATCATGGGTTCTGCATGTTAACAGGGTATTATATTGTGCTTAAGTTTATAGCTGGACAGAATTGGTTGAAAGCTTCGAGAAATGTATTACAACTGACCAAATAAAGCTTATTATTACAACCCTTGGTTTCCATCCCACCAAAGCAGGTTCTGTACCGCTCTGTTCTGAATTATATGAGATATTATTAAAGTTAAATATGAGAGGCTGAATTAACTGTTTATTCATATTTTTGCTGAAGAGAAAATGAAAGTTTTAACCACAAAAATACGAATGATGTAATGAGTAGTTGTAATATGAACCATAAATAGTTAAAAATGTATTAGACTTTTTGTTCCTTTATTTCACAAGACAATTGTGACAGTATCTTACAAAATGAGTCCCATGTTTTTCTTTACTTGGGGCCTACCTTTTATCATATCTAGTCGAACAAGCATAATCTGCTCAACATGTTGGTATTATAAAGATGCAGATATGAACTTCTTTTAAAAAGCAAGGCCTAGGCTTATCACAAACAGCCCGCGATTGTGATTCATTTTGTTGGGTTGAGTAAGTATAAAATTCTGTTTCTGTTTCACAGAAAATTATACCGTATGCAATTTTGTTTATATAGCTTATTGTCAAAGATTTTGTAACATCAAATTTGAACTGATTATAAAATTACTATTGTAATAATGACTATCCTAGTTGTTGCAATAGAAATATTAATAACGGTAACACAAATGTTTAATTTGTTATTTTTGTTATTTGAAGGATATGATTGTGCAACTCGAATAAATAATCTTGTGATTTTAGCTTAGCCTTTTAAATAAGCTCCTGCAGGAGCTTGTCATTTGGTGGTCTGTCTGTCTGTCTGTCTGTCTGTTCCTGGAAAATTGATCAAATTAAGCCCTCTAAGTTTCCCATAAAATATAACTACCAAATTTAAATTTTCATCAGCAAAAAAATTAATTATATTAATTATTCAACAAAAATTGCTACAATTCGGAAAGATGTTTATGCAAATGGGGGCAAAATATGTGGATTAGTGTCATAGTCACGTGGTATTTATTACAAATCACTATAAATCTAAAGTATGGTACGTGTTCCATATGTGCCATCGAAGTCGCATTTTTTGGGCTCCGACACTGTGACAGGAATCGTTTTGATAGAATTCATGCAAGACTTTCATGCAAGACGGTCAGAGCTTACGTGCACTCGCACTTGTTTTGTTCTAATTAAGTTAAGTTGAGTTATTGGGCGGAGATAATAATGTCGGTAGAAAAAAAGGGTAAATGCCATGAGTGTCTTATAGTGTACAAAACATGTATGACGTTTCTCAAGTTTGCTTTTTATTAAATATTCTGTTACTGGAAAAAAAGAAATTGTTTGACAATATTGACAGACGGCCAAAAAGTACACTGACAGTCTTTTGCGCGCGCGCTGCCTAAACTTTTGTCTCTAAAAAAATATAGGTGGCGCTGTTTCTTTATTTATTTGGGTTTAAAGAATTGGTTCGCGGCGCCAATTTACGGATTACATGCAACTCCGTGCGCGTATGATGCGGGAACCATGCAAAATGTCAATATGGACAAGGATGCTGTCGAAGAAGCGACGGAAAATCCGACGATTTTAGACTGCGTACCGACGGATCAGTTCGGTCTGAGAACATTCACAAATGAGCAAGGCAAACAGGAGTATCAAGTGGTCAAATTTGACGCCACTGGGGACTCTGGGCTGGTCGTGACAAATGTTCCCGTGACGTTACCTGAAAATGTCTCGGTGCATGTTGATCATGCAGGAAGGTAGGCGAAACGGAAGGCTTTTCCGACAGACTACGAAGTATTTTGCCTGAAAGTGAAACTAAAAAGTGATAGGCAAATGAATATTGCACAGTGACCATGGTGACTGGGGGGGGGGGGGGACTTAAAAAATTTACCGTGACAAATCTTAGTCTGGTTCCGAGCCATTAATGTGACTTCATTATATTCATGATATGGGAATCAGACCATTTTACTAGCTGGAGTTACCCAGCCCTGAGTTTTATCATTGGGTTGTCTATAAGGGCTGGAGCGAATTTTTCTCGTAACTTGTAGTATTTGCAAAAAAATTTGGAAAATGTTCAATTTTGTCCCCGTTACACACTAATTGCAACTGCAACTCACCCCAAACTTGCCTGGAATAACCATTACACAGGTCCTTGAAGTAAAAAACGATCCACGATGAAGATTCAGCCTACAATTGCAGTGAAAACAGGAGGAATAACCGCTAACCTGACAACCTTTCAGGCATGGCCAGGACTGCTATTGGTTTGTGCACAAAAAAAATTGTGTACAATGAATGGCGGTCGATTAACAGGCACAGAGAGCGATCGCTGTCAACTACTCGTTTTTGCCGGCTGCGCTGGCGTTGGCGCGTGACGTCACGCGGAAGCGTAACACCCGATGACTGTTTCATGCACTAGTATAAGGTTTACCACTCGCATCACAGCTTTGGTACTGGAACCGCAACCAATAGTGCATGAAACAGTCATCGGGTGTTACGCTTCCGCGTGACGTCACGCGCCAACGCCAGCGCAGCCGGCAAAACGAGTAGTTGACAGCGATCGCTCTCTGTGCCTGTTAATCGACCGCCATTCATTGTACACAATTTTTTTGTGCACAAACCAATAGCAGTCCTGGCCATGCCTGAAAGGTTGTCAGGTTAGCGGTTATTCCTCCTGTTTTCACTGCAATTGTAGGCTGAATCTTCATCGTGGATCGTTTTTTACTTCAAGGACCTGTGTAATGGTTATTCCAGGCAAGTTTGGGGTGAGTTGCAGTTGCAATTAGTGTGTAACGGGGACAAAATTGAACATTTTCCAAATTTTTTTGCAAATACTACAAGTTACGAGAAAAATTCGCTCCAGCCCTTATAGACAACCCAATGATAAAACTCAGGGCTGGGTAACTCCAGCTACCATTTTACAAGTTCGGACTTTATTTGTCTTTAAATAAAAATTCAAAAGCTAGGACAAGGTGCATGAGGAGGTAATTTAAAATAATAAAAGAAGAATATTCTAAGTAGACGTTAGCCCCATAAATGTGGCCAATTTACTGGACTACCTCCATAAATAAAGGCCACACTTCCACCATGTACAAAAACATGTCGAACTTTGTCAAATTTTGATTTTCACATTTAGGCTTAGATTGTAGTTAATTTTTGCTTTAGACGCATACTCACCCTCTTTATAGGCTTATCAGAAAGTGCTGCCTTTTTCAGATGTCTATTTTTTGTGAAATTTCATGTTGAAATTTTGATATGTTGAAATTTCACGAAAAATAGACATCTAAATTTATGAATGAATTTTATTATTACTAAGTACCCGTATTTCTTTCTATGAATGATAGGCCTAAGTTTGTTATTAATTTTCCTATCCCTCCTTCAAGATTAACTCTTCAAATCAGTGGCTCCATTGACGGTCTAACTGGTGATTTGGGTGGCAGTGGAGATGCAGTCCCAATCACCACAGGACAGGTGGCTGAGACCCCAGCCAGCTTTGGCAAGAAGCTTCCCCCGATGTTGTTACAATCGCCCGAGGCACTGCCAAGCGTCCGGACTGTGGACGGCGTCTTGCAGATGGGAAGAGTCTCGAGCATCATGGGTAACGTGACGGACTGCCTGCGAATGATGCCAGAAGCTGATCCCCTGGATTGTATGGATACGGTGGTACAGACGACCGCCACACTGACGTCGACCCCTACCAGTAGCAGCTTCACCGATGTCATTGCGACAATGCAGGACTCCATTCCCAATCCGAACGGAGCATGTGCCATGCCTGTAAATGTTCAGGATACGGGGGATGTGGACACGACATCAGAAGCGACAGGAAGGGTTGAGGACTCCATCGTCACATCCAACTCTCTGATTGATTCCTCAGAAACAATGCGGCCGGTGTCCATCACCGAAGTTATGGGTAGTATAACGAGAACCTCAGAGTCGCAAGTCACAGGTACCCTCACCGGCTCAGTTCCTGTTGATAATCTGTCCTCATGTTCCTTGCCTTCCCTGGTCAGCATTGGTGTGCCAAATGTGGAACTCACCACAACAGGTAAGACATGTTGTGTTTAAAATTTGTTTAAAGGATGGGTTTGTTAAAAACATAAACAGGAGCTTTGATACCAGTTGGAGTACAGTTCCAGTCAATATGTGTATGATACATGTAGCAAATATACTTTTGAAATGTTTGAACATTTTGTTAAAATTGTGGTCATCTCTCCATTGCTAGGTCAATTAGTAATCAGTCCAGGTCCGATGGTCTACGCTGATCAATCCAACAGTCTTCTGACAATGCCAGCCTCCGTTCCTGAGATGACTAGCCCTCTCAAGGAGAACACCATTACGCCAAATGTGCTTGTGGAGAACCCACCTGTTGTCAAGCCCAAGGTATTGTTCAAGGACGAAGAAGTGATGGTGTAAATTTTTAGCCAAACCCTTTCAGAGGCAACACGGCTTTGAAAGTCTTTGGGACCTTGCTGTATTGCGCCAACACCATCAGTGCATAAAAAGCCAATTCCGAGACAGTTTGAGGTCATACCTTTGAACAGTGCCACAGTTTTATACTGTTGTACTTGGCACCCAAAGACCCTGAAGCATTTCAGCCTCAAGATTTTTGATCTGATGGATCTTGTTTACACTGAGCAGACTTGTCATTTCAACAAATGTTCCATGTTGTTGCGCTGAGGTAAAATACTGTAATCAGAAACGGAGCTTAGAATTGATAAAAATGGATTATCTGGTTCAGGTCTGGAATTATATTATGGCGACAGAGGCTTTGGTTTCGCTAACCTTTGGCTGAACTTACGCACTTACGCACTGCAGCGCACGCGCGTCTGTTCTTTATCGACATCATTCACGGAGCGTGCCTACTCCCATCCTAACGCGTGTGTAGAGAAATGCAGTATTCCTCTTGCCCTAACGAGGTAAGTTTTTGTCACTTCGTGAAAACAGAAAAACACGGATTTCAGGATTTTGTCAACACAAGCGATAATTACAAAAGAAAACAATATTTCGCTTTGAAACTCGACCAAATTCGCCTTTTTGTCAAGTGCAATAAATTGGTCAGCAAAACTCAAAATCGAAAAATTATCGATTTTGCAGGTTGAACACTGTTGAATAATGCAGAAGTTCTATTCAGCAGGTGATTTCAAGGTACAAAGAATCAAGACCTACAAATGTTATCAGTTTAATTTTTTTTTTACTCAGGTCAAAAGGAAAGGTGGCTGGCCCAAGGGGAAGAAGCGTAAAAAACAACTGGTACCCAATGTCCCTAAAGCACCAACCACAGCGTGAGTACTATTGGCTGTCTCAATCCTCCAAAGTCTTCCGCGCGGTTTTGGAGGTTAGAGACTGAATTCAACATGCATTTTTGGAGGATTGTGTAGGATTGAGGACACATGGATATTCAGTATGGGTTGAGTTTGGAGGATTGAGGATGAATGGTGTTTGAAGAAGAGGAGGATTTTGGAGGATTGAGGCTGAATGCATTTTTAGAGGCAGGGCTGTTGGAGGATTTTGAAGGCTTAAGGCAGTGGGTATGGGATCTCTATTTTTTGGAGGATTTTGGAGGATTGAGTATGGCTCCTTGCAAAAAGGGCCTAGGTATTATGGTTATTGGATTAGTCTGTTTCTATCACAACTAAAGAAGAACTTAATATTTTCTTTTCTCCTGTCCTCCCCGATTGCCCACAGCTATTCTGTTTTCCTCAATGAGCAGCTGAAACTGATGAAGGAGAAGCACTCTAAGAAGCAATTTCCTGAGATCATCAAGATTCTGGGCCATACCTGGACTAAATTACCTGAAGAAAAGAAGAAGGTAACATGTACAGCTAAGTCTGGACTTCTTGATTTGGACTGTGACAATCAAACTTGATAAAATCAAAGATTGAAACATTCACAGCCTGTCAATTGTACCAATATCAGGCCAGGTAACAGAACTGTTAAAAGTTGTCACCTGATAGATTTTGACTGATAGGGTGCTTCTCTCCAGATTGTCACTAACAGAGGGAGGGTTAAGGTTGTGTAAACAAGAATGCGTCCAGCGTTTTTAGATGCTCACCAAGTCTAACATGTTATCTTTCAAGTCGGGAACAATTGCAAAGTTTACGTTATGTCTGCACATGGGGCTGTGTGTTGTATGCTAGTCCTCAAGCTGAATATCATCACAAAATTCAGCAACGTCTTGAAGGAGTTTTAAATTAATTTTCTCAGACTTGCCTCGCTTATATGATGTACATGTATTTCTTTAACCAATGCAGAAATACATGAATGCAGCAGCGCTAGACAAGAAACGCTACATTGATGAACTTCGTGACTTCCAACACAGCGAGACCTACCAGATGCTACTCAGACGACAGGTGGCCAAAAAGATCAAAGACTTGACGGGTGTGTATTTTGCTAAGAGTTTAAAAGAACATCAGTTAAAGATGCCGTCCCTGTGTTCCCCCCAAAAACAGGGGGAGTTAAACTCCAAAATATAAGGGACAGTGTACCTTTACCAATTCGCTAACTTGCAATGTTGTACACCCATTAATTTGACCGTCTTGATGCGAGTAGTACTTTTCGGTGAGGTTTTCCTGATTTCTGCATGATTTCCTCTTTTGTTACAGGTGTTGAGGGTGCAACCATTGATCCTGACGTCAGCGCTTCGGTTCTCAATGAATTACAATTAGAGGTGAGGTAGTTTCAATCAATTCAGAGTACAGTCGAAGGAATGACTTACTTGACGATCCAAATTTCATTCCTTAAAGTCTGCAGTTAATAGAGAATGTAAGTTGGTCTCAAAACCTACAAGATTTTACAAGAATACAACACATCCGGGCACAATGATGTAAAGGATCTAGAAAGTGTGCAACATGTTTTTGTTTTGCTTTTATTTTGTGACCTGCTTGGGCCAATTTAATCCGGGGAAATAAATGGGTATTTCAGAAAAAAAAAAGCATTACAAGTTGCAGCATATTAAAAGTATCACACAGAGTATGCATGGTTTATCTGAATGTGCCTAAATCTTTATCGACTGGGGTTTGAAGACGTTATTGTATTCTGCAGGAGGACGACCCGAATGACCTGCTGTGTAAGATATGTGACCAGTGTTTCAGCTCGGTGCATAACAAGAGAGAACACATGTATGGCAAGCAGCATCTACTGACACTGACTGGCAAGCTGTGTGAGTTAAACCGTCTTTATTTGTAAGATTACAGGTGCACAAATTGTTACACGATGGTGTAAGATTGTAAAATTTCATTGGTTGAGAACTGTCATGTGACCCACTGTAGGAGTTCGTGTATGGCAACCTGATGGTCTCCAGAGTACATAGACCTCATGGCTACCCGTTACATCACCTCTTATCATTCTTAAAGATTTTTGAATATTTTTGTCCCTGCTGCTTTGCACAACACAGCTGAAATAGACCCTGTCATCCCTGGGAACAAGATTTGGAATATACCCCTCAGTGGGCGCTTGTCAACTCGGACCTGCTTGCATTTGTAACGTGTTAGTGTGTTAAGTCACTGGATGATTTGTACGCAGATAATAAATTTAGGGTGGGAGGGGGGCGCAAAGCTAATCGTCCTTACCAGCAGCAGAAGCTGAATTGTGAAGGATGCATCTACAACACGGTCGAGTAGAAGCCATGTCAAGTCACCTTAGGCTGCCGCCATACGACCCACGTCTGACCACGGAGCACAGCCAGGTAGAAAGTGTTGATTTTGGCAGAAGCAGGAAAACCGGAAAACCCTGAGAAAAAAAAACACCCTTGTGGCACAGGAGCGAATAAACGAACAACTGTACTCGTATATGATCCGAGCCGGGAATCGAACCTGGGCCACTGCAGTGAGAGGTGAGTGCTTTATATACTGCACCGTCCATGCCAACCAATTTTTTCACCCATTCCTGTTCAGCGAAGTTATTTTCAAATCTGCCAAACTTCTTCCTTTTAATGACAGGTGAGATTGAGAAGGAAGTTCTGGAGATGCAAGACAGCAACCAGTCTATACTAGACCCCCCACCCCAACCGATGGTAACGGAGCAATCCTTACAGCAACATACAGAGGAGAGTCAACACACGGACCAGGCAGGAGGGACCAGCAGCATGCCGGATACCAGCCATCAACAACAACAACCCCCCACTGTGCCAGTCAGGATCGACATTGAGCAGTTCAAGGAAGGCTTTATGGAACTCAACCTTGGTGTGTGTGGATTTGTGATCATATCAATTCACTATTGGATCTTTGCCCTTCATCGATGTAATTTCATAAGCATTGTACACTCAGAGGGATTATGTGATAAAAATGTACAAGCAGTCTTGGATGGGACGTGAACCCGTGACCTGCTGCTAAAGATATTAATGTCAAACATTTAATTTTTTAGGCCAAGCCTTAACCATACCCCCCCCCACCAAGAATTATAGCATTGTTTTTATTTATTATTTATTTCTGGTAAGAAACCAAGGATTCCTCAAAGACGCTCTAGCCACTGTATCTCGCAAGCCTGAAGAAACCTGTAGAGAGAAGTTGATGAGAAGAAATGATAGTTTTAGAGGTGGGAGGAAAACCTCGGAAAAATATTCTGGGAAAAACCCACGGAATCAGGTAGGGACTGAAAACCCAATCCACACATTGGCTCAGGCAGGATTTGAACCCAGGTCACAGCAGAGGAAGGCAGGGGAAGGAACTTCAACAGGGAGATTTTGGATAGTGTGGAAGGCCCTTATTCCCATGAAGACTTATCATAGCATTGTTCTTGGTTTCTCCACACAGATCGAGAGATTGAACTGCGGGAGTTGCGGTGTCGTGACCAGGAACTGTTTGAACTCAACATGCAGCTCAGTGGCCAGTGCCAACAACTGCAGGTACATCAATTAGGTCACTTTACCCGTGTCCCTTGGACTTTTTCCCCCTGTTATTTTGAAGCAGTATTAACAAACTTCTTGGTTGATGAGCTTCAAATTCATCAATTGTTTTTTTTTTAATTTGGAATTAATTATACCACAATATTATTGTTGTGTAAAAGTATCTTTAAATTTAGTCTGGAGGTCTAAAAGGTGTCTGAAAACAAGCCCCAAAATTACCAAAATGTCACGTTCAATGGCTGGTGTCTAATATTTAATAAACAAATATTTTGAGCACACTTTTGTTAACCTCCTAGTCTTGTGGACTTCACAACCCTTCAAGTTTTTCAAAACCACTTTTGGTTCTGCCCATAGAGTCAGCGCCCATACTTTCTGATTCCTTTCTTAAACTTAGGATGCAGTTACCAAGGCAACACTGGAACTCAACGAGCTGAAGCGAGTGGACACAACTCTCAGGGCCAAGCTAGAAAGCCTGCGCATGGTTCCTACACTCTTCGGTGTCATCAACTTTTGACAAAGGCATTTCTGTTGGCATATTAAGTAAATCTTAGAATTTTGTGAAATAGCATTTATAAAACTGTATTAAACAGATGCTTATATTTAAAAATACACTTTATTTCACATTTCTGTCCCTTGAATTAAGTTATTGACAGATTGGGAGACTGTTATTTTTATTTGTTGGGTAGGCTGCTTGGATCACTCTTGGAGGAAGAATACATTAAGGAGTGCATAAGAATTATAAATTCATAGATGTCAGATGTAACATGGACAGGAAAAAGTGTACCCCAATTTTATTGAATGCCCCATGTCTATGCTGACAGTACATTCCCTAAATGTAACGAGTTACGTGACGTACGTGCCGGCTGGATTTTCTGACCTTTTTGCTACAATGAAACTGCTGTCGTCAGCCTGGATAATTCCACTTCGGAGAAGAGCTGCTTAGATTGCGGCGGATCAAATTTAGTGTTCTGTGAAGGATTTGTACATTACCGCCTGGATGAACTATTATGAGACATGCATCGCCACATTACTGTCTTCTGTCATGGTTTTATACTGTTAAATCTATGTAGTGCAGTGATGCATAATGTGGAGGAATCAATGAACCATGGCACTAACAAATACAAGTGAGATGTGGTGATGCTACTACTGTTTGGAGTCTTTCCCAAGATGGTTTGTAAGGACTGAATTTGTTGAAAGTTTTAACAACCACATGAACCCCCCCCCCCTTCGCACATGGCATAGTTGTGTATACACTTTCAATTATGGACATTCCACCGCCCTTTTTCGTTTATACCTTAACTTTTGGAAGGCACCCAAGGTTGACATACACACATTAAGCATTGTTTTAGCAAAATGGCCAGTTCTAGTGTGTTTATTAAAACAAACATCATTTGTGATACCATTTGAAGCTGCATGGTACTTTTTTTCGACAGTGACAACAAACCAGTAGGACTAATTCCACAGTGTGTTTTGTAGTTTCCCTTCAAGAAATGTGTTTCTCAGTTATTTGATACTACTGGTACTAACTGCAACACTTGTTCGTTGTCGCTCATAAGGATTCCTACTACATTTATCTCACCACTCCTCAATGTCACTTTGATAACTTTTAATTACCGCGCGATTTTTCACGAGGTGTGCTTTTTTTTTTTTTTTAATGAAACAAACAAGTAAGGGATTTAGGGATTGAAATCAACTTCTTTTTCTTGCCTTTGATTCTTGATTCGTTAAACGAGGGATGCAGAACAGATTTAGTGTTTAGGGTATTTATTATTTTTTTCCAATTTCAAAAATATTTCGTTTGTATCATTGTATATATTTGTGGCTAAAAGCCTGACCGTAATACCTGTACAGTGTAAATACAAATAAAATGTTATTTGTTCAAACAAAAAAGGGTAATTAAAATTGCTATCTTAAACCCAAAGCTATTAATAAATAAAAAGACAAATTAAAAAGAGTTTGTAAATGTTATTTTTGTCGTGATTTATTTGCATAAATCGGAATCAGTTAAAGACAGATTTCATCTAAAATATATATAAGAAAAATATCGTAGTTATTGCTACACATCTGAGACTGTCTTTGAACACTTCTTGGTTCTTATGATCCATCATAGATCGGATATCCACTGACTTCAGTCGCCCACTTCAAAAGATATTCTGTTGACCTTAACAGTTTTTTTTGTGTGGTGTGCTTTTGATCATATTCTTGTGGAATTTGGGCAATACATGCGTATTAATATCAATGTGTAAATTATTTTTATTTAGTTAAGAAATACACATGTAGCTGTTCCCATAAAACACCCAAATTGGAGTGGTGGATACTATAGATCCATTGCATAAGGCGCCCTCTCCTCGGTTCCTCTGTGGTACGCGCGAGTATAGCATTTGGTACTTCCATTGTCACTGAATTATATTTGGCCAACTCCGGAGAGACTCGCCCTGTAGATTGTTTCTCGTATTGCAATCTGATCCTCCCTTTGAATTTTGTCATGTTCGAAACGGGCTTCCAGAGCAACGGCTACGTCGATTGCCAGTATAGGAGAGCGGCGGGCAATTTGGTCGGCGCAGGTAGTCGGGTTGGCGTGTTGGTTCTTCCCTCACCTTCCACTTCTCCGTTTTCGAGTCCTGTCCACATGTGGATTGGGTTTTCAGTCCCTACCGGATTCCGTGGGTTTTCCTCAGAATAAATTCTTCTTGGGTTTTCCTCCCACAAAAACTGTAATTTCTTCTCATTGGCTTCTCTCTACAGGTTTCCTCAGGCTTGCGAGCTACAGTGCCTAGGGCGCTTTTGAGGAATCCATGGCTTTATTACTAGCAATAAATATACTGGACAAGGGATTTGGTCTCGGGCCCCAAAATAACCACGCCTAAACTCAGTGAGGGCGCTGTTTACAAGTGATATCGTATGGCGCAAAACACAGAAGCAAAGACTACTACTGCCATCGCCTGAAATCGACCGCCAACTCACTACATTTCCATTCCCAACCACCCCTGCCTTATTGTTTCTGGATGGATGCTTGTCAATTGATTTTTTTATGGCTTCGTGTTATTTCCCCAGTCCTGACGATGACAATGACGATAATGATGATGAGTGTAATTTTCTCCGACGTAGTGTGCCCTGTAGCGGAGCGCAGGGCCTCACCTTGGCGGGTGCAGTGTTAACACAGCGCCCCGGGGGACGGCCTGGTGTCCATCCGCTGAAACAAGCCACCGTGAATGAGGATATGCGCTATGTATATTCCAAGGAAATAGACACCGATCGTAATATGGGTGTAGCCTACGTCATATTGTTTTAAGCGGTGACGTCAGCGATGCATAAAACGCAATTGACTGACCCATGCCCATTTCCTTCTCAGTTCGAATGACGTACAATCGTGGACACTAGTAATAGGCAGATGTTTATGCTCAAAAGGCCCCACAACAAGAGTTGCAAATCTGAATCATCTGTAAGCCGTATTTAGACCTGACAAATTTTGCAGACATGTAGATTAGGGGGGGGGGTATTAACGGGGGAGGGCCGGGAGAGGGGGCTCAAGCCCCTTTGTCCTGAGACCGAAAGGAACTTGGTATCACGTGTGTCAAAATACACACTTTGGCACAGTGGCGTAACTGAGGGGGTAGAGGCACGAGGGACTTTCGCCTACCTCCTTTCATACCCCCCCCCCCCCCACGCCTCAGATCTTGGGGAAAACAAAAAAAACGAGCTGTTTTATGTGAAACTCGAGTGCCTCTCTCGAAATTGCGGTAAATTGGACCCTGAATTGCTTTTGTATCCCTGAAGAACACTGCTTGTTTCTTCACACCAATCGTTTTGTATTGCAAAATAATTGTTCTGTTAGTAAAGTTTGTATACATGGACTGCTGTTAACTGTTGCGTTTATGTTATTAGTCCTAGTCACCCTTGTATGTACATCGTCTCTCGCAATAGTAGTACATGTATTTGATTATACTGCGCCCAGTTACAATGATCAATGAATACAATGATATACGTATCAAAAACAGAAGAAGTTAGTGGTAGTGTTTTGACAGACTTCGGGGAAAAACAAATCCTATATCACCGCCAGTGCTCTCCTACGCTCGGTCGTCTCGGTCTAGAACACATTACATTTCATCTATACAGGGCCTTTCGAAGGCCTAGCAACATAAGAGGCTATCGAGTCAGCCCAACGTGCCTCGAACCTGGATACGAAATCGCTCACCTGCCTGAACTGTTTGACTGTACAGTTACGATTGCACTAATTAAGGTGAACTGTAAATTCGGACGTAGCCTACATTGTCACTGAGACACTTTAATGATGAGCTGCTGTTGGAAAATTGAATGTGATACATCACTAAAATGTGACATCTAAGGATTAGAAACAATTATACAGACGTCGGACGTACGTAAGATTTCACGGAATTGCCCTTGTATAAATTGATGTTATGTGCGCATGTGTTGTGCGAATTCGGAAGGGTCTATGTTTGGTCGCTGGTTAATGCAAAGTCATAAACTGAGAACTTAAAGAAATAAGAGGGTTAACAGCGCCCTAGCTTGGACAGGCGAGGTGGGTACAAGCTGACGGCCATGTGTGCATGCGTTGATGATTGCGACTTACAGCGGCCTATGGCGCCACTGCACTCTGCGTCCATGCCGAGCTCCGATCCGATCCGAATCAACGTACCTAGGTGGTTGATGTAGCCTACTGTCTCTTGGGTTCTTTGCTTTCGTTTTCCTAATCATGAAGGCGGATGTAAGAATGCTGTAACAAAATTACCCAAAACGTGTGCGTGTTCAATCAACAACTATATCATTCAAAGATGTATGTACTTGTATTTAAGTTGACACCCAAACCAGTATCTATTTTTGTGGCCCGTCCTTTCACCTGCTACGTTTAATTCCGGAAAACGCCAGGCCGCCCTTTTGGCTTCCTACCTCGGACAATATTCATCTATCAGTCTGATTGATGCGTTGGGGATCCGTTCAAGTCATCCCATTAAGTGCATGTGTAAACATGGACGATCGTGTAATCGTTTACGATCGGTCTGTATTGAAAACCCGGCCGGACTGTACCGCTGTGCCGTGGCGTGGTGGATCGGATCGTCACGACCCAGCGGCAGACACACGCGCGCCGGCGCGTCCCAGCTCCGCCAACCTGTCGTATACCTTTCACTCCCCTTTACTTGTACAATGTAATTTTCTCGCTGCGGCGTGTCTCTCCAGTTGAGTCGCAAAGCCGACCAGCAGGTCATGAAATCGACCAGAACCACCTGCCAGATAATCGAACTTAATTTCATGCGCGGGGATATGACGGAGGAGCCGGCCCTATAGGATCCCCGTCATTCCTGGCTTGTTGCCCACTCACCAATTTGCAAAATCAGGATGTGGTTAGTCACGCATCACACGGATATTTTTTCTTCCGACTGGAAGGTTTTAGTTTGCGCATCATTCCGTGGGTCGATACAGATTTAACGACCTGAATGTTTGGATTTTCATGCGAGCTTTTTGGTACTTAACTTTAATACAAATTCTATATATTTAGGCATGGATTATTTTGTGTGCCATACTGGCAACGCATGTGATTTCATCTCAGCGGTCGTGCCCAACTGCCTATGGTAGTGACCGCGTTCTGAACCACAATGGTCGATACGCGATTTAAACGACATTGACTCTTCTTTCTGTGTGCAAGATGTTGGAATGTTTAAATCCATCTCAGAGTAAGGAAATGATACTGATTTTTTTATCTCATAAACAGTAACCAACGGGTTGTTTTTCTGCCACAAAGTAAACCTGGCATAAAAAGAAACTAGGCAGTTTTATAATCATCCTTGTTTGCACATTTCTCGGTAAACAAAAATCCGAAATATTCGTTTTGTCACGAAAACTTTCCGGTTCAATTTGAAACGTCACTTGGGAACACTGTGTAAGAAATAACGAGAGCACAAGCGCTGAAGCTCCCGCTCCGAAATCCTAAAAGTAAAAGTTGCACTTAACGAGATTTTCAATGGGCATTGTAATTTGCAACACACGATTGAATGCAATGTGCTGTCAATGGCGGGGATGGGGCTAGCTGAGGATATTAAACATCGAACATTCTAAACGAGGGTACCCCTAAAGTCTGTGCGTTCTTGTCGCAACCTCGGTATACGCTACCACTATAACCGCTCTCGATTATACTTGGTTTCACTTAACAATAACCCAGGGGCCAAATGCAGAAATGTGCATAAAGTGCATCCCTAAAGCGTATTTCATGTGATATAATATGGTATGCTGATATATATTTGGCTCTTTAAAGCACATTCCTCATGTATGTAGATCGTTACGTCACCAATTATTGAAGCACAATTTTCAGTTGAGGTAAGCGTGCCCTCATGCTGTACTTACTGCTTACGGTATCCGTGAAATATACCGGGGCTCTGTGAGCAGAAAGTTTGTAGCTATAAGCAGCGTCATAGGTGGTGAGCGATTATTTCAGTCAAAGTAATTGATGGCTTTACTTAGCGATTGTGCTTTTTCGTTTAGCGCGGGGTCTCTGTGCTTTTGGAATACCTCTTTGATGATGTATGTTGTCATGGAATTTAAGGTGACACAATCGGAAGTCCCCATTCTTCAACCGACAACATCAACTCATTTACTTCGGCCGTGATCTCATTTTTGGTGCGCTTTGCCTTACGCATTGCGCCCGGCGGCGCTTTCCTGTGAAGTTTATCCGTCAGATCCGGTGTCTTTCGGTTGGTTCCGAAACGAACTCAACCTTGTGCAGTAATGTGGGGCTTTAGATTGGTTACAAAAATAATGCATCACTGTTGTGATGGACGGTAATTAGATATTATGGAAGGAACTGCTAATCGAGACAGATACTTGACCGTGACACTAAAACGCTACACCCAACGGCCTTGGTGGTCCATTTCTTCTTAACTTGTGGCCGACATTCTCATCATATAATTCAGGGAAACCATTATCTATACTGGAAGCTTTATAC